GGTTTTGCAGATCATCATACCTCACAGGATAAAGGAAAGGGAAAAGTTTAGTGTTGATGGAATTTTGTTTACTCATATATGTATTAAAGAAAGTTTTTATTAGTCCATGTTTTGTAACAATACTATTTTTAGTATTATGGGTATGATGATGTGAATTATCTATACATGGACTATAGGGGTTGTTACACAAGGGCCCCTTCAACAGTGAACCCTCTACCGCATAGATCATCGTGCTTCTCGACGCCATTGGCTACCAGTGGCCAATGAAGAAGGACTCCAATGCCCCTCTGAAGTCCTTGACGAAGATTGAGAAGAACAGAATGTCAACCATCTGGCAATACCTGTTTTCCCATTTCATCTAGTGCATGGGTGGAAAAATTGGAGGTTAGGACCAGGCCTCTAGGATCGGCTTAACCCTAGGCGTATCTGCGATTTAGCGTTGCAATATAAATTATGTTGCGGTCATTTTCGATTACCTGGTGCTCAAGCTGAACAAGCGCCCACGAGAAAAGGTGGTGCCTTACACCAGGTTTCTTTCAATGGTGTTTGCCAAGATCTTTACCCCAAAGAAGGAAACCATAAGGTTTCCAAGCTTGGATCTAGGATTCTGGATCATAAGTTGAGGGACAGTGATGTGGCACTAACTTCTATTGTATCCATCACTACCTCTTCTCCTCTGGTGGACACGGCAAGGGTAAACCCCCCCGCGTCCAGCCAAGCCACCAAAACCCCTTCAAAACGACCCTCTCAACGAACTCTTGGTTCTCCTCAGAGAGCCAAGAAGTCCAAAAATGGGACAGCCACGTCTCTAGCTGGAGCCTCTCAAAAGGCTTTAGTTATTGAAACTAGCCTTAATCTCGAGACGTCTTCTGCTCACCCTCCCATCTCTTCCGTGATCTCTCCCATCACTGTCGTATCAGTGGTACCTACCCCCACCACCTCAGTGACCCAAATCACTAAAGGTGTGAATATCAGCGACTGTCCTTCCTGATACTGAGACGCGCACCACTGGACCTGAGGTAGCTCCTCTCGATGCTCCTCAGCATACAGATGTCCATCCTCTCGAGGACATCTTTGCTCACGCCAGTGACAATCCTTTTGATGTCACTGATGGCCCCTCAGGTATTCCATCTTCCTACCCTTTTGTTTCTTCTAACCTTGACCCTTCAGCTCACACTTCTTCTTTTGAAGGTCCTTCTTTGATGCATCAGTTTGATGCTTAGGAAGTGGAAAAGGAAGAAAGAGAGAAAAATGATGGAGGAGATGAAGAAATTGATGATGACTATGATATGTCATCAGACATCAAACTTCTCCTTCCAACCGTTGATACCGTCCTCTCAGGATCAACGAAGTGCACCAAGAGATGTCCCGCCAGGGTGATCTTGATGCGAACTTCCTTGCCATCCAGGTGGACGTTCAAGAAGTTCAAAGTTATCTCCAAACTCTCCAAGAAGATGTTCAAGCCAACACCGATGCCATTGCTGTTCTTCACAGCAAGGCTGACGATGCTCAAGCTATCGCTGATCAGTAGACTGGCCTTCTACAACAGATCCTGGACTGTCCGTCAACCAGCTCCAGTGATCCCTCCTTCTTTCTCTACCAGTGATCGTGCCCAACTCCATGAGACGCGTGAGGCAATGACAACTCTAGCCAGCGCTTTGCAAAGGCTAGAGAAGATAATGGTTCTCCAGCGTCAGCGCTTGGACGAACTCTCTAGCCAATTCTCTCAAGTCTTAGCCAGAGAGGGGGAGATGAGGTCCAACGCTGGTGAATCATCCGATGTTGCTCTTGCTCCTTCTCAGGCTGTTGGTCCAGTATCAGCTTCAGTTGCAGTTGAACCGGAGGCTCCTAGAGCTGAAGTGGTTGCGGCTCCTGTAATCCCGACCACCAAAGCTGCTCCAGCTGAGGATGTCGATGCCATCCCTAGGGATGATGCCCTTACCATCACTGCTGCTGGTGATGATGATGATGAAGAAGATGATGAACCTACCATTCCAGACCCCGGAAGTGATCTAGAAGGCGACGACGACGATGATGTAACACCCCGCTAAAGCGGAAACATGAGGCGCAACAGGTAAGTATTTCATAACTCCAATCGATAGATAACACCATTAGAGTACATAATCCATAGAAATTTATAAATTCAAATTTTCTACTGTTCACGATAAAAACAAGATTTAGTACAAAATGAAAATTCTAAAAATTTGTGAACAGGTGTTATCGCATGAGAACTTCCAAAACTTCCACTCTTACTTAATTTCCTGAAAAGCATGAAACATAAAACGACGTCAACTACAAAGAGTTAGTGAGTTCACGGGTTTTCATATGCATAAAATATTTATAATGCATAAATCATAACTTGCAAACTTATACATAACATGAACAATATAAAATTAAAATTTTCCATCGATGCTTAGAAACTTGAGACGCTACAGAGCCTTACCTGACCAATGTGCCCCATAAGTTTACGAACTACCATAAGTGGCCCGTTCACTCACTTAGGTACCACGGTTCGTATCAGTACTACTTCAGCGGTGGACCTTTCGCACAAATGAGTAGACTTATGAAAAACTTAGGTAATGTGCACTCTTTTCTGGGTGGGACTGTCAACACAATAGCGGCTATCCACAATTACCACGGCCCGGAGACGTGCCTGAGTTAACTAGTAGCGTGTACG